GATTCTCGAGGTCTGTGTTTCTGTTACTGGTTTTTGTTATCTCCTCCCTAAGCTCCTGTATTTCCCTTTGGTGTATGGACTTCATCTCCTCTATCATTTCATCCTTTTCTATATGACTCCAACCAGCATTCTGGAAATTTCTTTCTGTGGCAGCTCAATGTCTGCTTCTTCTGGGTATGTTGTTATGTTCGGGACATCTTCTGCCATTGCCTTTTGTTTCTCCTGTGTTTTTGTTAAGGTCGTTGGGACTGATGGCTGTTTGCATTGCATTGTTTTAGAGGAGTCCGGTGCTATTTTCCAGGGGGTCCAAGAGCACTGGCTCTCTTTGGGAGGCTTGTAGGAATGCTTCTTCGAACTGCCTACAGCTAATTTACTATGAGATTAACCTACCATTTATTTTCCTGTGGCTTCCCTATCAGGGGAGTGCCCTAGGAGGAGCAACATCAGCCTAGTTTGATGTTGAGGTTGAGGAGGTTGGGCAGAGGTTTCTGCAACAGCTTGGAATGTTGGTGAGTGTTGACCGAGCTGCCTTATGCCCCCAGGTTCACAGGCAGTAATTCTCCCGTGAGAATTAAGCCTGGAGGGAAAGCAGAGCTTTCCCTAGCCTCGGGCTAGCTACACAGGGAGAAGCTCACCTAGCTTGGTGTGGTGCAGGCGTAAGTGCCCTAGGCTAAGGGGAGTGGTCTGGAGGTCAGCAGTGGAGTGTTAGAACAGGAAAGAGAAAAAGAGGGGAAAAAATTAAAAGTAAGACTGTTTAGACTGTGTGTGAATATAGGGAAGAAAAGGAAACAAGCAACTATGTATCTGAACCCCGATCTCTGCCCATGGAGCTGGGAGGGTTTAGTCCCTGCCCTGAGGCTGCGGTGGCCAGGCTGTGGCTGTGCTGAGAAAAAGCCCCTGCACAGACCTCCCGGACTCTGGGGGAACACAGAGCAGAGATGTAAACAAAAGCAACAATGTAGCTGAACCCCGATCCTTGCCTATGGAGCTGCAAGGGTCCAGTCCCTGCCCTGAGGCAGGTGGGGCAAACTGGCTGTGTTGAGACCAAGCCCCCCCTACAGG